CCCTCAGTTTGCTGCATGTACACATTATATAGCTGAAGAATAATAAGCACAACTTTTACTTTGGGCCTAATTTTTTTTTCCTGAAAACCTTTTTTCCCCACTCTGAAAGGATTTTTCTCCTTAGCCATACACATAAATCACAGTGTAGGTCCAAAACAATTATTCCTTTTACCTAAATCTTCAGTTACAAGACAATTAGCATGCATTTTAAACTCCCAATTTGTATAATGTGGTATTAGATTCTCTACAGATCAGGCTGAGAATAATTTTGCAGAGAATATTCTTCCTGAGGAGTGCATACTGTGTGCAAGACTACACTTTGCTTTTTGTGCCTCACACACAAAAAAGAGAAGTTCTTCCTAAACTTTCCATACACTATATACTCACATTGATGTATTTTTTAAATGACTCAATAATAAAATTCAACATGACTTTTCTTGTCTTAGAATATACATCTTAGACTATAACATTTTTAAAATTTATTTCAGGATATTATGGGGGTATATACATTTTGGTTACATAATTTGCTTTTGCTTTTAAATAATTGCACAGATCTGAATGCTAGGGTTACTTTTCAAACCTTAGTAAGATATTTATGTGAGGATTTGGGGTTAAACATGTATTAAAATAAATGTTCATCCTGTGGCCGTATTCTATTTTACTGAATTTATTGAAGCATCATAAGGCAAAGGAATAGAAAGGAAATTTGAAATTACTCAGTACTTATGTTGTGCTGGAACCTGATCTAGGTTTGCATGCATTATCTTATTGATACAAGTCTCACAAGGGCAATATCTTTACTTTACTAAAGAAAAGGTTCAGAGAGTTAAGAAATTGTTTGATGATCACACAGATAGTAAAGGAAGAGTTGGAATTTGAATTCATATTCTGACTATAAACCATTTTTTAAACCTTAAAATGCTCCTTTCCTACATCTAAAATACATAAACATTGCACATCATGTAAAACATGTACCAATTTTACTTGTTATTTTCCCGAGGAGATATATGAAATGACACAAACAGCAAGGCTCCATAATTGGAACACTTTTCATTCATGTGAGTAGTCTGAAGTATAGTACCCCTGCATCTTTCTGAAAAAAATTATTCAAGGATTTACTTCAAGGAAATAAAAAATGAATTCATGGGATAGAAAAAGAACAGAACCTATCGCTTAATAAAAAAGGGGTCAAGCTTCAGGTATGACTGGATCCAGATGTTTAAACAATGCCATTAGGTCCTAGTTCCTCTTCATCTTTTAGTAGATGACACATTGGCATCACTTTCAATAAGCCTTCTTCCACTGGATGACTCCATGAGCTCCAGGCTTTTATCCTACAAACTTAAAGAGAAACTCTCTTCTTCTAAATCGCAAACAGAAGTCTTGGGCCTGATTCTCACTGGCCCAATTTGAGTCTCATGTGTCCTTCATTGAACCGATTAATCTGGCCAAAGACTTGCTATCCTCTGATAGGCCAGTCCAGAGTTCTGTGACTGCCCTAGAACTGGGGGTAGGGAGATAGAGAGTAGAATCAGGTGCAACCAAATCAAATGGACTGAGACAGAGAAGAGAAGTGAGTCCCCAGAGGAAAAACAGAGTCTGTCAGCCAAAGAAAAGGGAATAGATGCAGAGCATCAAAAGCAGTAGGCTGGGTGTGGCAGCTCACACTTGTAATCCAGCACTTTGGGAGGCTGAGATGAGAGGATCACTTGAACCTAGGAGTTTGAGACCAGCCTGGGCAACATAGCAAGACCCCATCTCTAAAAAAAAAAAAAGATTCAAAAATTAGCTAGGCATGGTGGCATGTGCCTATAGTCGTAGCTTCTCTGGAGGCTGAGGCAGGTGGATCACTTGAGCCCAGGAATTCAAGGTTATAGTGAGTTATGATCATGCCCTTGCACTCCAGCTTGAGCAAAAGAGTGAGACCCTGTCTCAAAAACAAACAAAAATAGTAATGTCCTCTACAGTGAACCAATAAACCAGGAAAATTGTTAGTTAAGATCACATAATCACTGATAATGTTAATGTGACATTTGATACAACTTTTAAATATTAATATGTACTATCAATGTGTAAATAAAATTCTAGATGGTTTTAACACATAGTTGAGGCTCAGTAAATATTTGTTTAATAAATGAATGAGACATTGAGAGGTTTGTGGTGAAGTGGGCAAAGGAAAAGAGAAATAACATTCCAAATGCCTTGTCTTGTTAAAGAGAGAGGTAGGATATAGATACTGACTAACCTTGACATTGAGAGGAATATATACATTTTAATATGGTTGATAATCATTCAAAGATAACCATTATTGAAACAGGAAAAAAATTTAGAATTTCTAAACCACTAGATTAACAAAAAGGACCAGAGAAAATGTGATCAAGTCAGCAAGGGTCAGGTTGGGAAAGAAAAAGAAAGAAATCAAAATACATTTTAAGAACTCAATAAATCCATAATGTGAATGGGTTAAATCCCATATTAAAAGATAAATATTCTGTTAAGAGACAAAAACCAAGTTTTACGTTTTTATAAGAGACAAACCTAAAACAACACACAAAGAAGATGGATGGATGGATGGATGGATGGATGGATGGATGGATGGATGGATAAAGAAAATTAGGTAAATGATAACAAAGTAGCAGGAATTGCAAAACAGAATAGAATTCAAGGGAAAAAATATTAAGGGCCACTTGGGCTATTTTGTAACTATATAAGTGTTACAATCAATAAGAAGTAATTATCATAAGCTTTAAAATAACAAACAATAAAGCAACTAAATATTAAGCACGTTTTATTAGAAATGCCAGGAGAATTTTTTTAAAATAGAAAACTTAAACTCATCTCTCAGAAAGGGACAAGCTAAGTAAAAAGAAAAAAATTAGTAGACATAGAGGATGTGAATAACAATTACAACATTGATTTTATATACTTGTTTTATTTCTTTAGCAAATCTAGCACTTACTATGTGCCAACCATTCTTCTAAATGCTTTATAAATATGAACTAATTTAATCCTCATAACAATCCTATGAGACAGGCATTTTATAGATAGGGAAACTAAGGCATGGAAATAATAATAAAATAACTAATAATAAATATTAATAATAATTTATCATTAGTTATTTTATCATATATTATAATAAATAATATTTTATTATTAGTTATTTTAGTTATCAATTAGTTATTATTAGTTATTATTAATAAATAATAATAATAAATAACTTTCCTGAAGTCATACAGCTAAGAAAATGGCAGTACCGCATTTGATGTCACAGTTCGTGCTCTTAATTTCTGTACTCTAAGTGCACACATATGTAGACTTTTGTACCCTACAGTAAAGACTATATGGGCTCTCCATATTTGGTTTTTATCTTCTTCCTGGGCTTACGGGAAGACCATATTTAACTGCGCTCTTGCAGTAAGAAGGGTGATTAGTTAGAATGGGAAGTAGTCTTACTTCAAGGAAGAAATTGACCCTAAGTGAAAACGTAAAGGATGAGAAAGGAGTTAACCAGGGGAATAGGGAGAGCTGGGTGTGTGGGTAGGGATCTTCAGGCATGTGAGAAGGCTCTGGAGTGGGAAGAGGCTTGGATTAGAGGACTAGAACACAGAGCAGTATAAGGAAATGCAGTGAAGAATGGGAGAGCTGTAGGATAAGAGGCCAGAGAGGTGCATACAGGCCAGATTCGGGGTCTTTACAGATCATGGAAAGGGTTTTAAACTTCATCTTATAAATAATATGGGAAGTCAGTGCAGGATTTTAATTATAGTAGTAGGTTCATTACTATAGTAGTATTTGTGTTTGCATTTTTAAAGTATGGCAGAAATTGTGTAGATGCCGCACAAAAGTTTTGGCATATTTTTATTTTTAATTAATTTATTTTATCAATTTATTTTTTTTAGAGACAAGGTCTCGCTCTGTAGCCCAGGCAGGAGTGCAGTGGCAGGATCATGGCTCACTGCAGCCTCAAACTCCTGGGCTCAAGTGATCTTCCTGCCTCTGCCTCCCAAGTAGCTTGAACTACAGGCATGCCACCATGTCCAGCCAGTTTTTGGCATATTTTAAAAATGAGAATGGATAGGAGGAGTAGAAAAGGGCAACCAGTGAGGAGATATAATACTTGTGGTATTTCAGAGAAGAGAGGGTGGTGGATTTGACTAGCACAGTGGCAGAGGAGAAGGAGAGGAGTGGATTTATTGGAGGTAGTAGAGATCAAATTTGCTAATTGATGGGATAAAGGAGATGAGAGAGAAGCACATGAAGGAAGGAAGGAGGACTTGGAGGGCAGGGAGCTCAGGTTTACTTTTGTTTGTTCAGGTGAAATCCACACAACCTAAAATGATCATTTTAAAGCGAACACTGTATTAGCATTTAGTATATTCACAATGTTGTGCAACCAATACCTTTATCTAGTTCCAAAACATTTCCATCACTCCAGAGTAAAGTCCCTTACTTCTTGAAGCAATTACACATTCTCCCACTCCCCCACACTCTGGCCTTGGCAACCACTGCACTGGATTCTGTTTCTTCAAATTTACCCATTCTGGATATTTCATATAAATGGAATCACACAATATGCAATCTTTTCTTTCTGGCTTCTTCACATAGTGTAACATTTTCCAGGTCCATTCATGTTGTAGCATGTATTAATACTTCATTCTTTAAGGCCAAATAGTATTTCATTGTATGTATATACCACAGATTGCTTATCCATTTATCCATTGATGATTATTTCCACTTTTTGGCTATTGTGAATAGTACTGCTATGAACATTGTGGTGCAAGGATTTGTTTGAGTTCCTGTTTTCGGTTCTTTTGGGTATGTGCCCAGGAGAGGGCTTGTGGGATCACATCTCAATTTTATGTTTAACTTATTGAGGAACCCCCAAACTGTTTTCCACAGTGGCTGAAATATTTTACATTCCTGCCAGCAGTGTACGAGGGATCCAATTTCTCTCAATCCTCACCAACACTTATTATTTTCCCAAATTCTCTTTCGAACAGGTTAAGATCTCAATGTATCATGGAAGGAGAAACATACGTTATTGGACACAAAGGTCTGGAGTTCAGAAAGGAGGTCTGGGTTTGAAACACATATTTTGGAGTTGTCATCATAACGGGTACTTAAAGACATGAGAGGGGAGGAGATTGACAAAGAAGGGGCTAGAGATCGGAAAGGCTCTAGATCCTTACCCAAAGGAACCTGAATATCTAGAGGAAAGAAAAGGGAGAGCTGCCAAAAGAAGATCAAGAAGGATCAATCCAAAGGTACCACCAAGACAGTTTAGCAAATAAGAAAATGAGGGATTGGGATGTGTCCCCTCTCAAATACATTCTGCTGAAGATCTGGGGAATGCAGTGGAGCAGTGAAGTGTTCTTTACCATCCATGGAGAGAGTACTTCCAATTTCTCAAAAGCTCCATCTTAAGGTCAGAGAACTCTTTTGCCACAAGTTCCATAGATCAAAATGATAGGACAAACAAAGGAGAAAGACAATTTCCCATCTGGATACTGCCCAAAGCTTCTAATTTTGGTACCTGTCTATGTTAGACATCCCCCAAGTCCATGTCCTAATCTCCAGAACCTGTGAATATGTTATCTTAGGTGGCAAAAGGATTTTGCTGATGTGATTAAATCAAGGATTTTGAGAGGGGGATTATCCTGGATTATCTGGGTAGGCAGAATGTAATCACAGGGTCCTCATAAGTGAAAGGAGACAGGAGAGTTAGAGACAGTCTTAAAGATACCACATTCCTAGCATGAAGATGGACCAAAGGACTATAAGGCAAGCAGTGCAGGTGGCCTCTACAAGCTGGAAAAGGCAAAGGAACAGATCCTCCCCTTGGCACCTCCACAGGGAACACAGCCCTGGTGACATCATAGATTTGTGAAACCTATTTCTGACTTCTGACCTCCAGAACTATAGTTTAATACATTTGTGTTGTTTTAAACCACTAAGTCTGTGGTGATTTGTGGCAGCAGCAATAGGACACTAATACATTTCCCAAGGACTGACCACTTTCTTTATGTGTCCTGATTGATTTGCCATGGAAATGTCATTTTTTCACTCTTTTGGCGTTAGAAGCCAATTAAACACTTCTAATCAGGCAAATCTATGCAGAGATTTCTCTAACTAATAGTCCTTTCCCTGAGCCTTCTCAGAGTATGTAAATTTTTAAACTGTACCACTTGAGCCCAGTGAAAATTCTTAATTGGTGGAATTCTAGGAACAATGCTGGAGATGTTTTGAAAGGGTCAGCGTTGTCTTAGAATCCTGTCAGAGAAGGGGGAAAGCCTAGATACTTGGAGTCCTCTAGGATCATGGGGTGTAGGCATGTTCAGAGAGGCTCAGAGAGGGTTCCTGCCCTGCTTGGTCCTCCAAAGTGACCGTAGACAGGCTTCAGTGGTATCAACTATTCAGGCATCCCCACCTCAGGGCCAGCACCCAACTCATTCTCCTGACATCCTTTGGGATAGGCCTATGGAATGAATTGGCTCCATCTCTCTTCTTTAACAGAGGTGGTTCAAGCTCCGCTATAGACTCAGCTTTAGGAAAGCCATCACTGACCTCAGCTTGGTTCCAAAAGGTCTCTCTCTGACCAGTGTTTTGCAGTAAGAAGACTGGATTTAAAGTCAGAATGCTTTTGCTTGGTTCTCACTAGCCTGTGCAAGAAGAGGGTCACAGAGCTTCCCTGTCCTTTTGTTTCCTCATCTGTAAAATAAAAATATTTACCTCATAAAATCATTATACAGATAAGAGAAAAAATGCATGTGAAAGCTGTAAATATTCTACACTTTAAAGTTCATCCATACTCAGCAAAAAAGAAAACAGAAAGAGAAAGAAAAGGAACAAATTACTGATACATGCAGCACAAAAAACAAGCTTACAGAACATTAGTGCTTCGATCTTTACCAAACTTTACCAAAAGTTTGCTCAAAAGTTAAGTGCCAGGAGCCAAAAACCTATACCTGTTATATAATTCCATTTCTATGACATTCCAGAAAAGGCAAACTATCAGATAAATAGTTGCCAGGGGCTGGCTGTGGAGGAGAGGATCGAGACAAGGTAACTTTCTTGGGGTGATGGAAATGTTCTATATTTTGGTTGTTTGGTGGTTACACAACTGTGTATGTTTGTCAAAACTCATAGAATTGTACACCTCAAAAGTATGAATATTGCTGTAAGTTATACATCAATAAACCTGACTTTTCAAAAACCGGAGAATGTCCTACAATATGATGTGTTACCTATATAGTCCTTTGGAACAGGATCTAATCAACTGAGCACTTCATCAAATACCTATTCCAAAATTTTTTTGCTTCATTGTCATGTTGTTCATATAGCATGTGACCTGATTTTCTGCTAACAGCATGCTCATCTTCTTACCGCTTTAAAATTTTTTTTAAATTAGAAAGGTACTGAGCACTCACCTTCTACAAAATTCAGCTTTCCCTCAAGGAACAAAGGAAGGCACCAAGAGGATGAGGCAGGACAGGGTATCAAATAATCCAGAAGCACCCAGATGTGTGGGACGTGGGGGGCGTTTCTGCTTTGGTCGCCAATCCAGGAGGAGCACTACAAGCCTGTAAGAGGTCATTATGTAGATAATAGATGCTATTTTGATTTGGAGGGAATTTCCAACTCTGGATTGTTTAATATTAGATTTCTGTGGTTAAGGATGACCCAACATTAGCTTAATTAAAACACGGGTCAGATACACCTGAAGGCTAAGGCGTGCGAGCCTCAGGGCGCACGCTGGCGGGGACAGTCAGCTCCCGCGGACGCTCCCCGAGCGCCAGGAGAAGGCCCAACCCCGCGCCGTCGGTCCTCCTTTCTCATTGGCCACTGCCCCGGCCGCGTCCGGCGCCCATTGGCCCGCGCTGGCGCCCCGTTTGTATAAGAGGCTGGGCACGCGGGCTGGCGGGCTGAGGGAGCTCGCAGCCTGTGGCGCCCGAGGTGAGTGGGGTGGCCTCTTCCCGCGGGGCGCAGGGGCGCTGTCGGGGAATTGGCGGCGCTCGCCCGGCGCGGGCAGGGGCAGAGTCCGCTACCGGGAGGTAAATGCCCCGTGGGGAGCCGGGTCTGGGAGGTTGGAGTTGTACCCTCATGGGCGCTTATTTCTTATTTCTTCCTATCCTTCTGAGGGCCTGGTATGCCAGAAGCAGGCCATTTGCACGTCGTCTGATTTCACCTTCACAACAAACCCTGCTAGATACTTCTTGCACTTTGCAGATGAGGAAACTGGAAGAGTTCTGTCTGTTAGCAGAAACATACATTCTTCTTCCCTCCCTTCCTCTCCCTCAAAGGGCAATGTCTCTTTTTTCCATCTCCTCTCATGAAGAGAACCCTCCCTTAGACACCCCAAAGAAAAGGGAGTCTCAGATGCAAAGCTTCTCAGCATGGCACCTGCCCTTATCACCTCCATCCCGCAGAGGACTGCGATCTTGGTGCAAGGTCGCAATCAGTAAAGAGACACAAGTCCGTGTAGTTCAGATCCAGTTAATAGTCCAGGTAAGCTTAACCGTGCCTCTGACCCTTTGATCTTCAGAGGTTTTTTTTTTTTTTAATGGACCCATTTATCTAGCTGATGATCTTCAGAGGTTTAAAATGAACTCCCCGTTGATGCTCTACTCTAGTCCGCTTGGGAAAAAAGATATTAGAGTTGAACTTGCCAACTCAGGAAACATTTGTGCCTGTCAATTTTCAAAGAAGGGTGGAATTCTAACTATAAATATTTCTATAAGGTTGTAATCTGTGGTTTACACATTTTATCACTGGAGTCCATTTGTACATGTTTATCAGACATTATCATCTTATATTATCTTCAGGTCGGGATGGGTCTTCTTTTTCCGCTTTCTTTGCTGGTACCTTTATTTCCTAGTACGTTTTTCATGGGCAGGGTTTTCTTTTGTATTTCATCTCCATTTTCATCCTTATTCTCACCTCCTATTTAGAAAAGAAAATCAAGATTCTCCAGAAGATTCCCTCCCTGCAAACCGGGCTTCCTTGCAGCTTTTAATTCTGTTTTCAGACAACATCCATGCTTTCAAAAGACTTTAATTTGATAGTGCTTTGTGTTTCCTACATCAGATAAATTTAAAGTATACTTGGTGCTGATTAAACTAAGGAGAGAAAAAGAGTTGGTCAGTGTATACATCTTTCCCTCTACTCTGTCAAGGCGCTGATGATCTTCTGACCTCCTTGGTGATGTGTCTTCCTTCCTTATTTCTATTCCTATTTGTGGCATGTCCTCATACCAGTGCATCTTTAGTCAGGCCAGGAAATACAGTAGGAGAGTGACTCCCTGCCTTTCATGAGAAAGTGTACCAGTTGGCATTGGCTGATCAGAGCGTTGCTTTATAAAGAAAGCATATACTTCTTGATAAGACACAGATTCAAACAAATGTGACCCACTGGTCACTTTCTAGCCATTTATCTTACCAGACTAGTATTGCGGGGATTTTCCCTGAAGGAGTACAAGAGAGTGGGTAGGTTGAAGGGAGAATGGAAAAAGTAACAAGAGAAAATATTGAGATTTTGAAAGGGGTTTGGGGGTAGTTGAATGAAGGAAAAAAGAACCAGTTCCTCAAAAGCTCTGTCAACCAGGCAAAGTTATGGCAAACTTTTGGTAAAGTTTGGTAAAGATCGAAGCATTAATGTTCTGTAAGCTTATTTGGTAGTGGGGGAGAATTTGGGAGAATTTTTTACTAGTTTCTTAGCTAGTAAAGTTCCTTTGAGAACTTCATTCTTGTCTTAAATGAGGGGAATAGGAAAGTTTCCAAATCTTAATATAATAATTCATTATATCATTAACTAAATCAAAACAATATAAAATGCCTTGCGTATCATAGATATCCAATTAATGTATGCTTCACCCTCCTCTGCCCCCATCCACTAAGGAGATGTTGGTGGCAAAACTAGATCCATGCCAGAATTAAGGAAAGAAAAGAAAATTACGGACACCAAAGGGATAGAGTTAGACCAGCTGTGACTGTTAGTATCGCCTTACAATGACATCTTCCAGGGGACCTTAAGAGCCAGTTTTGAAATTTGAAGGAAATCGTCATATAGTTTTAGATGAAGAGCTTTATTCCAAGCGTTAAGAGATTGTTGAAAGACAAACTGACAGGAGAACTAGAATTTTGTCAGTGTTAACCCCTGACTTGCGAAAGTCACTTTTTTCCTTTTCTTTTCTTTTCTTTTTCTTTTGATTTATTTATTTATTTATTTATTTATTTATTTATTTATTTATTTATTTATTTTACTGTTCTCTGATGCTCCAAGTTCTTAAAGTTTGCTTACATTGTGAAAATAGTGGTTGGACAATAAATAGCTTATATTTACAGAATCCTCTTCCTTTTGTTTGTCATAGTGACAATATTAGAGAAAATGTAGACTCAATAAGTATAGGCTAACTGAGTAAATTGTGCTTTGGAGTGTTTGTCTATTTGTTTGCAAAAGAATTGCTAAATTATTCATTTGAGATTTGGAATTTAATACACTTTAGGAGTTTCATAATAAATAAACTAATGAAACTGAAAATCACCTTGATACAAAAGAATACTTACAGCTCAGACACAGAAAGACAAATACTGCATGTTCTCAAATGGGAGCTTCTGGCACAGTTACTAACAGACTGTTGTTTATGACCATATAGCTTATAATAATTGAGCCATATTTGGTACTTTATACCCTCTCTCAAGTTAGGTGAGTCCCTTCTGGGCTGCTACCTGTCCTGTGAGGGGCCCCAAAATGCTGCATGGCATGAGTTGAGAAAAAGGCTTTATGGAGGAAAGGGAAAGCTCACAAGAACTTTCTGGTGAGAAAGACAGAAATGAAATTCCTCATCTTGCATTCCCCCATAGAGGAGCATTTCAAAGCCAAGACTTTAACTTAATGGAAAAATACCTTGTCCTTGGTCTTCTCATTTAGCCTTAGGTGAGACTAGTTGTGGTGCTTAGATGGGCATTTTTTTTTTTTAAATCAGTTGACTATTGCTTTTGTGGGCACAGGGGCTCAGGAGCTCTTAGTGGGGCAGGTCTGCTTCCCCTTCACCATCATAGGCTTCTGGCTGTGCAGGGTAGCCCTGGCCCTGCAGGTGGCAGCTGTGGCAGATCCGTTGTAGGGGGTACTTGTTCTTGCTGCTCATATGCCTGATGCTGGTGTGGGCGCATGGGCCGTTCTTGTTGATGGTGGTCCACACATGGGAGGAGGCTGGCTTTAGCTGGCTGGATGGCTGCTTCACGACCACCAAGACACCTTTGCTGTCAGCTGCCAGCCTGCTCACAGTCTTGTGGTGAAATGATCCGGTGTAGGGGACAGAGTTTCTGGCCTTCAGGTTATTTGGCTTGGTGCTGTATGTCTGCTTATGCCTCCTGATCAGGAAGTGAAGCAGTTCCGCAAGACTGTCCATTGCAAACATGTGGGCATGGGGCGGAGAGAGGCCTTAGCAGGCATTGGGACAGGCACAGAAGATCAGTTGCAACCCCCTCTGCATTACCTGCACAGAGCCTTTTGAAGGATCTTCCCCCCCCCCCCTTGCCTAGGTGATCTCTCACTGCTCTATAATGGTTGGCCGTCTCCTCATTTTTTGTCTTTCACTCTTGCTTCTCTTTAAGATCCTGTTCAAACACATCTTCAAGGAAGCCTCTCTGGATGGATACCAGAACAATTGCTCTAGTCAGTGCTATGACTATGCCTCTGTTCTTCCTAATACAGTTCTTATCTTTCTTATTATTCTTTCCCTACCTGATTATCAGTTCCATGAGTGTAAGGATCCTGTCTTTAATCAATCTTTCATTCATTTATCTGCTCACTGACATCTATCCAGTGCCTGTTATGTGCAGGGACTGTGCTAGGTGCGGGGGATACAAATGGTGAGTAAAAGCAAGGTGATCCCTGCCACTGTGGGGCTCATAGTCTAGTTGGAGAGGCAATGTAAACAAATACTCAGGGGAACAAAGCTACAATGCAGCTGTGACTGATGAATGGGAGGTATATGGTGCCATGGTAACATACTCCAAGAAGAGTTGACTTGGGGAGGCTGGGAAGGCTTCCACCAGGGAGTGAAGTTTGAGCTGTGGGGGACTGGAACACACTCTAGCTGTCTCCAAGCCCATACTGTCATCACTATATCTGCCCCAAGTGGTCCTGCCAAGGCTTGGGTCCATGTGAGGGCAGATGAAAGACAGTGGAATCGGGTAGCATTTAAGTTGTTAA